TCATTTTTTGGTTGATTGCCCAAAGAAAAAATACGTGTCCATTATTTTTTGACCATCTAACTGACGGACTAAATAGAATTTCGTTTACTGTACCCCGTCATCACCCCTATTACTTTATGATTCAAGAAGAGAGATTATTGATCGAAAAAAAAAATGCAAGTTTTTTTTTCTGAATCGTTGTCTGAATTAGCAAGTAAAGTCTCATGTAACTCAACATTCACAGTGTATAAACGCAAACCCTGATCCCTTCCCCTACCCCGTGGATCCTGAAATTTATTTACTTCAGGAACACAGCACTAACTTTATCAAAATATTCGATAGCTACGACTAACACGATAACTTATATTTATTACTTTTGTATTGTACATCATACATGTGTTTACATAGCTTTACACAACTTGCTCTAAGGCTAAAATTGCTTGCACCTACATCTTATTTTATCTACAATTTTCTCTAAATATTGAGATCTTGTTCAAGCAATTATAGGCTTAAAGTAACAAAACTTTTAGTTCTTACACTATATTCAGATTATAAATGAAATAAAATATGTATTTAGGGGTCACAGAACACAGAAAGAGGTTGTGTGAGCAAATGCTCATAACTTGACCAAAACTTGGTTCTGACTGTCGTTGCTCTCGGGTGTGAGCGCTGATTGGTCCTATTGTTTGATGTCGCGTCATTTGATTGGTTATTAACTTTTAGGTGGAAAAGTAGTGGGGGTGTGTCGGCGAAATTGGTTTCCGTACAAACGCTCTATGAGCACCCTTCCAACCACTTTCTGTATTCTGTGTTAGGGCTCATTCACGGAGGAGCTTGAAAAATAAAGTTTGGTCACCCATCCGATTAAAGAAGTCATTGCTTAACATCTTAAATCGCAGACGAGACGTGTTAGCTATGGTGCTCTCGAGCTTATTGAATTTCCCAGTTTATTTGGGTAAAATATGTGAACTTTCATTAATCTTGGTTACTTATTCACTTAATATGGTTATTCGGTGTTTGCGTATTTGTTTTTGTTAAAGATAGAAGGAAAATATTTTGCCAAACGTTGTCGAACATTGCTAATAACATGTTCCTTAAATGACGCCGAATAACGTATATTTGGAATTTGATTGCAACGACAATGCAAACGACATGTCGTACGATGCGGCACTTGCAACGGAATTTTTAAAGTTAAACTTTTATTAAATCGCTGAATTTATTTTTATTAATCTTTTATCATCAGCCTATTAATTTCCCCACTGCTGGGGCACAGCCCTTCCCTATGGATGGAATAGGGAGATTGGGCCATGACCCACCACGCGGGCCCAGTGCGGATTGGTGGATGCAACGACTGCAGATGCAGCCGGGACCAACGGCTTAACGTGCCTTCCGAAGCACGGAGGAACTCGAAATAGAAGATTTTTGGTCACCCATCCAATGACCGACCACTGGGAAAGTTGCTTAACTTTAACGATCGCAGCCGAACGCGCTAACCACCCACGCCATCGAGCTCCTCGGCATCTTGAGCACGTCGCATTACATTATTAATTGTTATTATAAAATTAAGACAAGCTTTGGTGGTTCAGTGGTAGAAAGTTCGCCTGCTACTCGGGCGACCCGGATTCGATTCCCATCCGAGGAAGACATTTTACTATCCACTTTTTATAAGTCAGAACGTATGTAGAACACTTTAAAATGTCTATTTGTATCGTAGTTTTTATTTTACTTGTGCTCTTTTTATAAGTTCTATTTGACAAATATGCAAATAAAGCCAGCTATACTATCCACAAGAAATCACTAAAAAATTATGGACAATACTTATCCATAACTTATCAACTTGATATCGGTATACAAAGCTATAAAGTGCTTAATAAAGATAAAAAAAAAACATCAAATCGATTCTCCTTTTTAAAGTCGCTTCAAAAATCAGCAACACGCAAAATACGAATAACCACGTAAAGACATGTACCAAAGGCGGAACGAATATAGCTTTTATTGCTAATGCGCTAAAGGCGATTTAAGTTGTTACAAAAAGTTCTTGGTATTTTTCAAAAACATATTGTTACACTACATCCTCGTACAGACAGCAATAGGTAAAGATCTCTAACAACTGTCAAATTTCTCATAACTTTGAGCCTTATATTCAACGATATTTAATACCCTAGATACACCAACACGAACTAAATCATGCCCGAAACCTGTCCACAAGGTACATTGGACAATCCACGGAACTCCATAAGATGATCGCGTATGTCTAGGCATTATTTAAACATTGAAAATCACCTTTAAAGCACACTTTATAAGGTCTTCATTAAAACGCATGCCTTAACGAGTTATGACAGTCCGAAATGTAAGCTCGTAAAATTTTACGACTTATTGCTATATGCGAAAGAATATAGACCTTATACGTTTGACTCTACGCGCAATTCTGAATGCGCTGTTAGCAATATAGCAGGTACGGACCGTGAGGAAAAGAGACGGCTATATTACCGACCATGCATTTGAATATCACAAAAAACGTCATTTTAAATACTATAAGTATTTATTTCGCATTTTTTACGGAACTCAGCGGCATGTTGACTTTTCAACGGTCCGCGGGTGACTGTGAACCGTGAAGTGCATGAGTCCTTTTCAAGCACTTCTTGATAAGGACACATATTGAGTGCAGGTGGTGTATCTAGGGTATTTAATATTGTTGCTTATATTGCTTGATACAGGATTAAAAATGGAATGAAAACAGAAATTTTGACACCTCAATTTTTTTACCGTAATATTGCTGTACTGTACATATTAAATTTGTCTAATCGAAAACATAGTTATTATAAAAAATATACTATACAAATATATATATACATAAACAATTTCTAGGTACACAGGATGAAACAGTTTACTGGCAAGCTTACATTATTTATAAATATGGCAACACTAAACTGCAAATAACCCTATTCATTTATATTACAAGTTTTTAGTACATTATTTTCGTTGGAAAAGTGACCCTATTTTATACATCATAAGTTACAAGATTCCTTCTAGTAAAATAAACACGAAAGTTGCTTTTTAAAGTCTCACTTTGACTTCCTTTTTTTCTATATGTTAAGGTTGATGTACTAACTGAACCATAAGGCTCCTGTCCACTGGAGCGGAGCGAGGCTGCGAAGCGAAGAAACGGAAATATTTTAACCAATAGGATTGCACCAAATCTCCGCTCCCCTTCTGTAGACTGATTTTGTGCATTCCTATTGGTAAATATTTCTCCGTTTCTCCGCTCCGCTCCAATGTAGTAAGTCTGGTTTATTAGAACAAATTACTAAAATAAACCATTTCGCATTTATAATACTAGGAGAATGCTGTAAGACAAAGTCGCTTATGAACTGTCAGAAATTGATATATTTATTAATCAATTACTGATTTTGAGTTTTTACTTATGCGATCGCGTAATGCGTGAACTTTAAAACTTATAGCGTTAATGAAGCGCCATCTAGCGTAATCACAGCGAATTACAGTTGAAGGTTTACTAAAAATGGCACTTTGTTGTGCTATTGTTATGGGTTATGTTTCATCCGTCTTTTCTGTTTGTCTGTCTGTCATCACTTTCTTGTAAACGTGTGAAGCTAGCTATAAGAGGGTTTGTTTCTGTTGCGTATGCTGCGTATGCTATTACGTGTTGAGGCTAAATAATTATCTCATACCTGCGTGTCGAAGCTTCGGATAGCTTGGTTTTAGTACTAAATTGAATGAAAGGGGCCATTTATTCATTACGTAAGACTATTGTCGCTTGTTTGTCACTCCCCCTCCCCCACGCATACGTAAGAAAAAATAAGAATAGTCGAACAGCCACACCCCCTGTTTCATATTTATTACTCAAGAATTTTAAGTAATAAATTAATACCTACACGTTTGACTTGTTCTAATGTTAATTTTCATAGTAACAATTTTTCGGAATATTCATTTAATTTTGTACCAACAGAGGCTTTACTTTTTCAAAGTTTAATCTTTTCTTTGCGCATTTTTGCTATCTTAAGAGCCCTTTCACATTTTTTGCAAGAAATCGTAATTTTTGAGCGCCGCATTTACCCCCTTAGATTTTTTTTATGACTATTTCCAATAGAAGTAAACAGTAGATTTATTCTTCCTATTGAAAGTAAATGTAGAATATTTGCAAATACTACTTTCCTTTTTTTGTACTGATCGTTCTACTGCAGCTAGTTTACGGAAAATACGATAATATGCACAACTTCAAACGCCTCAATCTCTCAATAATGTTCAATAAATTAGATCAAATTAATTACTACGACAACAGATATATGTTTTTGTTGTAACATAATGTATTAGAAATTTTCCATCTCATTAATTATCCAAAAAAACATCTAAACTCCGTGAGTTTTCCCAAAAAACAATGCAGGTTTACCTCGAATTTTGATATTGAATTAAATAGAATTACTATCAAAAACTTTCACAAAACTAATCTACCATCATTGGACTACTATATTATGAAAGAGAAAATATGTATATATTTTTATAATTACTTTATTAATAATTATTTTATAAGACTCGAAACATCACCCGTAAAATGCAATATATACTAGTGCAAATCTACCTACGCGCCGATCAGTACGGCAGCGGCGCAATTTTGTAAAAGGGCTCTTAAGCAAGAATGAGAAGATCCTCCCACCCCCTTGTAAGAATAAAAATGAGACATGGTCAATCCCCCTCTCCCCCTAAATCGCCTTACGTAATACATGAATAGCCCCAAAGTACGCCCCTTCGGCAGCACATAAAAATTTATCGTTTTCCACAAGCTCTTTTAGCGTGTTAAATTCCTAGAAGGAAGAGTAGAGTAGGGGATAGATAGAATTTACTAAAAGTGGAAGTGTCACTCTAATAGAAAGAGAAGGAAGATGAGAGACCGCTAGCTTTCTCTCTCTAATCGCGCATGCGCATTGGCAAACCGTAAGCAACTTACTATTTCGATGTGATGCCATTGGATGCCATGCGTCACAAGAGAGAGAGATAGCTAGCGGTCTCCCATCTTCTTTCTCTTTCTACTAGACGGACACTTTTTGAGCCGCCTTCTCCACTCTATTCTCATACCTCTATGCTATGGACACGCAGCTCGCTAATCTATTACAACAGAACAGAATGCACAATTTCGAACGCAAAAGTGGATTTGCAGACAGAAAATTACTTCGACACAGTAATGTACTTCGATCTCCCTAGATGGCGCTTTTCACAAAAAAGAAGGATGCTTATAGCCAGTGACTTATAATGCAATATTATCGCTTCGCGTCGTATTGTTTAACTAATTCAGGTATAGCGTTGGGTTCCACTGGCACGAAGCGTGATAACTCTTCTAAGCTGCGTACGTAGCTTAACTTACGAAAGAATTTTGAACTGAAACAAAATATTTCCCGTTATATATCATCCTATTCCTTTGACGACCTCCGTGGCCGAGTGGTTTGTACGCTGGGTTTCATGGTGTCACCGACTCGAGAGGTCCCGGGTTCGAATCCCGGTGGGGGCAGATGTTTGTGTGATGAACGTGTATTTATACTCCAATCATGGATGTTTAATATGTATTTCTGTATAAATATACTTATATATGTACAGTATATGTATTCTATCCGTTACCCTAGCATCCCATAACACAAGCCTTATAGTGCTTACTTTGGGGCTAGGCTAATTGGTGTGTGTGTTGGAAATATTTATTTATTAGCCCCCACTGCTGGAGCTTCTTTCTTGAAGTCTTTACTAGAAGTAACGTATGAAGAACAGTACCCTTAGCAATAACCGTTATCGAATTCGAATAGTTTGCGAGTGCTAAATGTCATTGTCAAATTTTGTATGGAAACTTGAACAGCAGCGCCCCAACGGCCGTAACGAGAACTAAAAATCAGTACACATTTGACAATGACATTTCGGACTCGCAAACTATTCGAATTCGATAATGGTTCGTGCTAAGGGTACTGTTCTTCATAAGTCTTCTTCTAGTAAAGACTGGACTGCTTCTTGTTCAGCCTAGTTCTTGTATCGGTAACTAACAAATGTTCTACAAACACCCAGAGTCGAGACAATACACAAAGGTAATTTTTTCTACACTTCCCACCTCCAGGAGTCGAACCCAGCAATGACCAAGAGAACAGATGTGACTTGACTACAGAAATATTTGAAAAATTTTGTTATTTATAATAAGAATTTAAAATAAAGAAGTTATTTTAATTTGTGTCGTTAACGACGTTAGACATTCTGTCCCTCTCATTCATGCTATCATAAGTAACGTGCGAGCGAGACAGAATTACTTGCATCGGAATTTTAGATTCCTTTCTTTGATGTCACGAGTTAAAGAAACTTTTAATTTATTCATCATCAGCCTATTAATGTCCGCACAGGCCTTTCCTATGGATAAAATAGGGATATTGGGCCATGACTCACCACGCGGGCCCAGTGTGGATTGGCGGGTGCTAACGACTGCAGATGCAGCCGGGACCAACGGCTTAACGTGCCTTCCGAAGCACGGAGGAACTCGAGATAGAAGATTTTTGGTCACCCATCCAATAACCGACCACTGCGAAAGTTGCTTAACTTCAACGATCGAAGCCGAACGCGCTAACCATCTGCGCCATCGATCTCCTTTAGTTTATAAGGATTGTATAACTATTAAAGAGGACTTACCTTACAAAAGGTTTGGTCAGAATCACGAAAGATTTGAGCCAAAACGTGGGATGCACCAGGTACAAATGTTTCAGACTTTTTCGTAATCTAAAGAAAAATACGAAAATATATATAAAAAATTAAATCTTATTCAATAATTATTTGATTTAGACCTAGCACAAACTGCCACCTTCCTTTTAAATAGATAATTAAAAATATTTGTAGTTGACTACATATCTTTTTACCCGACTACGCGACGCGCAGAGAGGGTATTTGTCAAGATATTGTATAGCAAATTATTGTATCAAATAAAGAATTTCTATTTGTATTATTTTTAACTCAGAAATTAACCTTTAAGGTACTAAAAGGCGGTTTGTAACATCCAGTTTGTGAGAAACCATTTTTTATTAAGATTCTCCCTTTTCAGGGAAGGCAAAGGGAACAATGCCCATACAGCCTAGTCTTATGTTTTATTAATCTTCTTTTATTTTACATTATAATGTCGGTGTGACGCATTCTAATGTTTCTTGGAATGTTTGGCACGAAATGTATCAAGTTGGCGTTTTCGATAAGCTTCTGTGAGGTAGCCAACACTACAATAAAGTTCTCACGTCCACTTGACCGGAATAGCGTATATTTTAAACATTCCACTAATTCTTCTGTTGCGCAGACGCTTGTTTGTAACACAAAATCACACGCGCAGAGAGGGTATTGTGTTTAACAGTGAAGATATTGTATAGCAAATTAGAGTATCAAATGAAGAATTTCTATTTGTATTATTTTACCTCAGAAATCAACCTTCAGGGTAATAAAAGGCGGTTTGTAACATCCATTTTGTGAGAAATTTATTTAAGATCCTCCATTTTCAGGGAAGGCAAAGGGAGCAATGCCCATACAGCCTAGTGTTATGTTACATTAATCTTCTTTTTTTTACATTATAACGTCAGAAACATTAGAATCCATCACGGATTCTAATGTTTCTTGGAATGTTTGGCACGAAATGTATCAAGTTGGCGTTTTCGATAAGCTTCTGTGAGGTAGCCAACACTACAACAAAGTTCTCACGTCCACTTGACCGGAATAGCGTATATTTTAAACATTCCACTAATTCTTCAGTTGCGCAGACGCTTTTTAATAACACAAAATCACACCGAATTTATTTCACAATATCAACTATGAACGAAATTAATTATAATTAAAATAAGACGCAAGGGCGGATCCAGGGGGGTCATGGGGGTCATGACCCCCCCTGGGCTGGGTACAGATGGACCAAACCCAGGGGGATTTTATTTAAGTACTTTCAATATTTAATATACCACGACAATATGACCCCCCCCCCCCCTGGCGCCAAAGCTGGCTATATGACCCCCCCCCCCCCCCTGGCGCCAAAGCTGGATCCGCCCTTGATAAGACGCCTCGATGAAATAGCGCCAAAAATCACACCATTCTTTTTTTCTACACGCAGATAAAGTAGCGGGTTTTATTTCTATAACAGAATCGTGTTTGGGAAAAGACTCACCTGCGGTCTATAAGTTTGTAGCATTCGTGAAGCCAATGAAATGTGGGTAGTTTTCTTGCTCCCGCGCTACCGTGTAGATATACTAGAACATACTCGTCGGTGACTAGCCTCTCCAATGTCCAAATAACATACCTAAAAGACATCATAAATATCAACATCAGCCTCATAATGTCCCCACTGCTGGGGTAAAGGCCTTCCCTATGGATGGAATAGGTAGATTGGGCCATGACCCACTACGCGGGCCCAGTGCGGATTGGCGGGTGCTAACGACTGCAGATGCAACCGGGACCAACGGCTTAACGTGCCTTCCGAAGCACGGAGGAACTCGAGATAGAAATTTTTGGTCACCCATCCAATGACCGACCACTGCGAAAGTTGCTTAACTACAACGATCGCAGCCGAACGCGCTAACCACCTGCGCAATCGAGCTCCTCATCATCATCATCATAAATATATCAAAACTTTTACTATATAAGGTGAAATATTAAATTCAATTCAATTCATCATTTATTCCAGACCATAATGGAGATACAAAGGTGGTAATTTTAACAGATAAAAAGTGCATTATGGACCCTGTCATAAATCATTTATTCCGTTTAAGCTGTTACAAGCAATCATGAATAGATCTTAGATTAAAACAAAATGGGTAGATACGGCACTAGCCTCACAAAAGTGATCCGCATAAATTGTGGTCCACGGCCCTAATCGTGACATGCAAACGACGTACATGTGAACGCCAAAAAGAAATATTGCTAATATTTTGTGTTTATATGATAAAACAATGCCTAAGTATGTTTTTAAAAAGTGCTCAAATTGCTCAAGAACTAAAAATAAAATCCACGGCATCACTTTTCATTCGTAAGTACTATAAAATATTTTTTTTATAAAAAATTCTGTTTGTTTTGAATCTTATTCGGTAGTGACGTCGACTACTGGTCGCGTGATTGGTCGGTAATGCAATGACGCGGATCTCGCCGTATCGCGCTGCCGTGGGATCAGTTTTTGTTTGATGCAAGTATGAGCGTACCGTATCTACCCTTTTTGTTTTAATCTAAGGAATGGATAGATATAAAAACGAGTGTGCTTATGACCACACGACTGAAGTGAAACTTTTTTAGCGTCATCTCTATGTATATATGTGTGTGTACAATATATACATGTATGTACGTACGTACATATACATATTTCATTAACTAGCTATAAGAGAAAGAGATAAAGAAAATGTGCGCGCGCACTGCTTTCCCTTGCTTATATCTCCCACTCAACTGCCGTTCGCCTCGCCCGAACACACTTTTCGTAACGCGTAACGCATTCGCCAGCTTACCGTGCGTGAAGGAGTTTTACTTCAATAAAAGTACTTACAGAAACAGATTATCCATGACATATCTGTAATCCGGCCGGGCGGAATCAGGTAGATGGCAAGCGCTAAATACTATGACTGCCGCGCCGCGTTGCTCGTAACCACCGTGAGAAATCACGCGCTTATACGGCTCTATTACCTGGGGGTGACAGAGCGAAAAGGGTGCATCACATTAAGTTTCATCATCATCATCAGCCTATTAATGCCCCCACGGTTGGGGCACAAGCCTTCCCTATCAACCCACCTCTCACCCTAAATCGCCTTACATAATAAATTAATAGCCCCGAAGGGATTTCATCCAAAAATTGCAAACAAAAATTATACCCATAGTAAAAAGGTTAATATTCACAAATGTCAATAAACTCTGAAATAATTGTCAACGAAACGAAACAATAGCGCGAGCTATATCAGACTACAGCGCCATCTATCATTATGTACCGGAACTATATACTCGGATGTTGCTATGAGCCGTTATGCTGGCTTCACTTGGCTGTTCGTATTTGATATTTTTAAACTTGATAACAGTCTGTCCTAATCACCCTTTATGATAAGGAGTGAAAAGGACTGACTAATATGAAGACACGGACTAGGCAGCAGACGGGACTCGAACCCGCACCCTTCGCTATCCGGGCGAATGCACTGACCAATTATACTACCGTGGCCCTGACGACCGTGTCGAATTCTTTCTAGCCTTTCTTAACCTGGGAAGCAGCGCCAGCTCTTCGCATTGTAGGTAACCACAATTCGCCCGGATAGCGAAGGGTGCGGGTTCGAGTACCGTCTGCTGCCAGGTCCGTGTGGATTTATTTCTAGTAATATTTTCTTAATATTTTAACATCGAGCAGCTATTACCTTCTTTGCTTAAAAAATAAAAATTACAACTATAATATCAAGTTTACAAAAAGCCCAAAAATTGCTATTTGCTAATTGAAAAGGCTGGCTGATTTAAAAGAGCATTGCCTAAACCTAACCTATTCAGTTTAATATCGTTGGTTACAATACACAATTTACTGTAGACTACTCACAACAATATTAAATACCTACACTAGATACAACATCACGAACAAAAACGTGGCCGAAACCTGTCCAAAAGGTACATTGGACGATCTACGCAGCTCCGTGAGATGATCGCGTAGTCAAAAACAATATAAGGCATTATTTAATCATTGAAAGTTACCTTTAATGCATACTGCATAAGGTATTAATTAAAACGCATGCGTCAAAGAGTTCAACAATTCAAAATGCAAGCTCGTAAAATTTTACGACTTATTGCTATATGCGAAATAAAGACCTTATTTCTTAGTCTCGACGCGCAATTCTGAATGAGCTGTTACCAATATATCAGGTACGGACCGCGAGAAAAAGAGACATCTATATCACCGACCATGCATTTGAATATCACAAATATTTTCTATTAAATCAGTTTATAGTAAGTATTAGAACAAAATTTATTTCAAATGTGTTAATTTAACAAACATTTATTAGATAACTGTCGAAAAAAGGACACTTCTTTATCTACTATAAGCATTTATTTCGCATTTTTTTCACGGAGCTTTGCGGCATCTTGACTTTTCAACGGTCCGCGCGTGACTGTGAATCAAGAAGTGCTGGAATCGTGTTCAAACACTTCTTGATTGGGACACATTTTGAGCGCACATGGTGAATCTAGGGTATTTAATATCGTTGACTACTTACCTTCATATCGCAAACGGCATGTCCCTGACCCTTTGGGACACTGATCCAACATCTTTCGTTGCTATACTCTTCAGCGGCAGAATATTCCGGAATTGGGTCGCTGCATTCCGAAACTGTGTTCGTAGACTGTGTTCTGATGGAAAAACAGAGGCTCACATTAGCAATACTAAAAATATGCTTAGACTCAACTACATAAGCAACTCTCATACGTCTGTAATTAAACATTCAATCGAGCGAGCGAGACAGAACTGTACGCTTCAACGCAGCGCGAGCGAAACGGCGAGTCCGCATCGCTTTGCAGCCGAGTGAACTGTATTGTTGTCCTTTTCTTGATAACAAACGGCGAATCAGTAACTAACATTCATGGCAAACCGTGTTTTTTGTGAAAAAAAAAATTAAATATAATTGTATATTAATTTGTTTCTTAAAAACAGTGATGTTCAGACACTTAATACAAGAAACAAAAATAAACTAACTTTACCTACTACTACTAGGCTTCACAAATTAATAATTTATTTAAAGGTCTTTGTGTTCGTTTATACAATAAAGTCCCAAGCAATATCCAAGAGTTCACCATAAATAAATTTAAAGATAGTATAAAAAAAGCATTTATTAAAAAAGCTTATTACAAAGTTTCTGATTATATAACAGACAAAAATGCTTGGGTTTGAACTGTTCTAATCATCCCAAAAGGTCTTCTATATTAAATAAATCATAATTGTATTGACGTTGTAACAACATAATGATTTGTAAATGTTGTTACATTAGACTTTTAATGTTGTGGAATTTTTTTTTCGCTCGTTTTTCTCCGCAGCTAAAAAATATGTCCATAACGAGTGGTAGAGAAAAAAAATTTTGGACGATTCAAAAGAGTTGTACTATACACCCAATTTGAATAAAGATATATTGATTTCTGAGCTTTTCACTTAAAACGCTGAACCGATTTAGAGGAAATTTGAAAGGACATAGGTAACATTTAATTCCAAAAATCATCCTTTAGGAGGGGGGGGGGGGGGGGGCACAAAACAATGGCACAGCTGGTAAAACGGAAATTCAAATGATTTATTCCATCGAGGCTTAGGTTACAAGCACTTGTGAATGTCGAGAAGCTACGCCATCGGTTCGTATATCTACTGCTTGATATATATCCAATATATAAAATTTTCGTGTCACGGTGTGCGTAATTGAACTCCTCCGAAACGGCTCGACCGATTTTCGTGAATATATGCATATTCAGTAGGTCTGAGAATCGGACATCTATTTTTCTTGCCCCTAAATGTTAAGGGTGGCCCTTACATTTACAATTTTTTTGGACAAATTTTTTTTTTGCTACATCATACAAAAATACATACAACCCTAAATTTTCACCCTTCTACCACTATTTATATGGCGATACGAAGTTCGCTGGCTCAGCTAGTAAATATATATTCTATCTAAATCGTTATCTGAATTAGCTAGTAAAGTTTCTCAGGTAGCTCAAAATTCATGGTGTTTAAAGAATATATTATGTAGAAGATTAACAAACCTCTTCGCATCCTCATCATCACTGGCTTGAACTTCAGCCTGCGTCTCCGGAGGAGGAGGCTCCTCTTCAGACTCCATAGAACACGCGCTTAAGCTATCCAGGCTGCATCTGTCCTCTTCTGGCGGCTAATGATAGAAAAAGATAGATAAATTACGAAAGATCGTACGCAAATGTGACTTTTCTATGAAAACAAAACCCCTTGTTCACACATCACACTATTCTACAAAATGAAACGGCTAACTTAACTGTCATTGACTTTTTTCTTTTCATTAAACGATTCAACACCCCTAAAAATTCTGAAATAGCAGCCTGGATACAAACTATCCAGGCAGCATCTATCAATCAGAATAGGTTCTTGTAGCTAGTGATAGAAAAGGATGAATTCGACTTGAACTATAATGACAAACTATCCAGGCTTAATCTGTCTTTGAAATTATAATGACCAACTATCCAGGCTTCATCTGTCTTTGAAATTATAATGACAAACGATCCAGGCTTAATCTGTCTTTGAAATTATAATGACCAAACTATCCAGGCTTAATCTGTCTTTGAAATTATAATGACCAAACTATCCAGGGTTCATCTATCATTGAAACTAAAATGACAAACTATCCAGACTTAATCTGTCTTTGGAATTATAATGACAAAATATCCAGACTTAATCTGTCTTTGGAATTATACTGACAAACTATCCAGGCTTCACCTGTCTTTGAAATTATGATGACTTACTATCGAGGAAGAGATGGCGCTGCCTTGCAGGAGGAGGTCTATCTTATTTTTTCTTATTAGGGGGTCAAAAACAAGCGAAAATAGTCTTACGTAATAAATACATGATATGATGCAAAATATTGTAGTTCACCCAGTGATCTGCAAGTTTAAAATAAGTCAGGGAAAACTACACCAACAATTTCGCGCAACAAGAAAACTGTTGTACCAACAATTTTTCCCCTAACCATATTGCGGCAAACGTAATCACCAATTGTGTAACATAGTCTTCGTACACAGAACAATCCACAATTCACACGATCGTGTTTACAAACTCAAACGAACGAGCAAAAACTTCTTTTTAAACTGTAATTGAGAAACTCATTCGATCTGCGATCGTGGAAATTAAGCAACTTTCTCAATGGTCGGTCATTGGATGGGTGACCGAATTTTTTTTTATTTGGAGCTCCGCTTTTGAGTGTTATACTGTTGGTCGCATATAGCTTTTGCAACCTCACCGGGTTTGGGGACGGCGAGATCCTAAGGAGACCTCAAGCCAAGAATTGGCGAGTGCCTCTAGAGGTATTCCAGGCGGATGGTATCTCCCCACGAGGGGAGTCTCCTCTCCGTCTGGAGCCTCTAGACCACTTAACCTGAGGAGCTCGGCTCAACTAGAGAGCGTCTCGGAGAATCGGACCTCGGCTCTAGTTAGCCGTTGTCGTGGGGTCGGAAGACACTTTAAGCCATCAGTCCCGGCTGTGTAAAGATGTTAGCACTCACAGCACTGGGCTGGCGTGGTGGGTCATGGCCCGGTCTGCTCCATCTATAGGGAAGGCCTGTGACCCAGCAGTGAAATGAAATGAAATGTCATTTATTCAGTCTAGGCTGTTACAAGCACTTGTGAAGGTCAAGAAGCTACGCCATCGGTTCGCAAAACTAAGGCGGGAGACCTTGTACTGGCAGGAACCGGCAAGAAACTCAGCAAGGGCTGCTTTTTTCTCCCTGTATTGATATATACAGAGTCGTCAAGTTGAAAAATGACTTCAGAGATACTTCTGAAGTCACCTTCCCTGTGTGGGACTTTAATAGGCTAATGACGAGAAACCGCTAGTTCTATGTCGATTTTTATACCTAGGGCTTCACCGCGTGGACTAAAACCACTGAATTCGAACATATTAACACTTTCTATTTTCCTGGTTCTATATTTCAATAATGACGTATTTTATATACACATTAATATTTTTGAGGAGCTCGATGGCGCAGGTGGTAAGCGCGATCGGCTGCGCTTATGAAGTTAAGCAACTTTCGCAGTGGTAGGTCATTGGATGGGTGACCAAAAATTTAATATCTCGAGCTCCTCCGTGCTTCGGAAGGCACGTGAAGCCGTTGGTCCCGGCTGCATCTGCAGTCGTTAGCACCAACCAATCCGCACTGGGCCCGCGTGGTGGGTCATGACCCAATCTCCCTATTCCATCCATAGGGAAGGCCTGTGCCCCCGCAGTGGAGAATGGAATTAATAGGCTCATAATGATGATGATTCAGATTTTACCCCTCGAGCAATGGAATTTTGACTTCACTGTCAATCACATAACTCTCGCTTCTAGTTGTGCTAGAAAGAATTTATCGTTAAGCCTATGAAGTCGAAGAAATTAGGCTCTCCACCTGTCTCCTTCTACGGGTTACTGTGACACCTATTCGCGGCCGCGGTAAGTTGCAAGACCACCTTGCCTGTTTATGGGATAAAAATGTGACGTAATAACATCTGGACTGGAGCTGCCTCCTGAATCGTGATGGCAGAACTCTTGGACGAAGTATGGCTATCACAACATCATCATCAACCCATGCTCGCCCACTGCTAGAAAAAGGTCTCCCCTAATGCACGCCACTGCTCCAGATTTTTTGCCACTCTCATCCAACCAACTCCAGCCAGCCTACGAATGTCATCACCCCATCTTGTCTCCGGGCGTCCTACACTACGTTTACCGAGTCGCGGTCTCCACTCAAGAACTTTACGGCTCCAACGGCCGTCAATTCTGCGTATGTATTTATTATGTTTTAGTATGGCTATGAAATAAAGTATTTTCTCACTGCCTGTGTATGGGATGAAAACGTTATAACAGCTGGAGTTACCAGCTGTATTCTTCTACAGGTGGTGCTTGCTGAACTTTTGGCCGGACAATGTTCTGGTTGTTTATAGGATAAAACGTGATGACATAACATCTGAACTCACTAGCTGTATACTTCGACTTGTCGCGCTTGCTGCTACTGTCGACCGGAATAAGTCACAAGACCACTTTGCCTGTTTAAGGGATACAATCGAAGCTAGACTTACCAACTGTATTCTTCTACGGGTAGCGCTCGCTGGACTTTTGGCAGGACAATGTTCTGGTTGTTTATAGGATAAAACGTGACGCCATTACATCTGAACTCACTTGCTGTATACTTCAACTTGTCGCGCTTGCTGTTACTGTCGGCTGGAATAAGTCACAAAACCACTTTGCCTGTTTATGGGATACAATCGAAGCTAGACTTACCAACTGTATTCTTCTACGGGTAGCGCTCGCTGGACTTTTGGCAGGACAATGTCCTGTTTGTTTATGGGATAAAACGTGACGCCATTACATCTGAACTCACTTGCTGTATACTTAAACTTGTCGCGCTTGCTGTTACTGTCGGCCGGAATAAGTCACAAAACCACTGCCTGTTTATGGGATACAATCGAAGCTAGACTTACCAATTGTATTCTTCTACGGGTAGCGCTCGCTGGACTTTTGTTGGCAGGAGTATGTCTTAACGCCACACTGCCTGTGTAAGGGTCCAAAAGGGCCTGATAAGCAGACCGGTCTTCCTGCGTTGACGATGAGACCACATCGGGGGAATTGAGGTCCTATAGAATTAAAGTTTTTTTTTACTAGAAAACATTTAGCTTGGTCAAGGTTTCAGACAGGACTCGAACCCGCGTGTTCTGCTGTCCGGGCGGATGCACTAACCGCTATGCTAACGAGACCTTAATGATCGCGTCAAATTTCTTCTAGGTATTTCTTAGGCTACAAGGAAGTCCCATTTCTTCATTGCAGGTTAGTGCATTCGCATAGGCAACGATAGATGCAGTTTCGAGGACTGTCTGAAACATTGATAGAGTTGTTTTTTTTTCTAAAAAAAATTCCCAGCCAATGATTAGAGCCGATTATTGTTTAAAATAAAATATAACTATGGTAAATTAAATGACTTGCTAGAAAATATCATTGGTTTCTTAACAGCCTGTTCCCTTAATCAACATCCAGTAAAACAGGAATAAATAATCTGGTACCGTTTCTTGGCAAGAGTTGTTCTTGTAATCTAAATAATAAACATATGTCGGCATCAAGGCTCTTATAGGCCTGAAAACGATTTTGCTAAATTGCGGTAGAGTCTGTGCGAAAAGAGAATGGGATTTAGATTAGAGGGCGCTGTAGTGATTAAATACAAAAAACCGCCAATTATTCGTTTCTGAACAAAAACCGATCTCTAGAGAAGTGGCCATCTTGTCACGGATGACAGTTGATGGTTGAAATGTGACAGAAGGCGCGAGCATGGCTCGGTGGAAGTTATTTTAAATAAAGTATCATCTTTGTGATTCCTGACTATATTCTGATTTCGGCCATGTTCCTACAGGCCTATAATTTACTGATGTTTCATTATTGGAACTGGCTGTTAAAGACAGCCTAAGATTACGTAGAACTAAGAACCTGCAGCTATTGGAGTATTAATGTGACGTAACTAATAAAATTCCCAATTTAGAAATAGTTAATCCGTTGGTCCCGGCTGCATCTGCAGTCGGTAGCACCCGCCAGTCCGCACTGGGCCCGCGTGGTGGGTCATGGTCCATCACCCTATTCCATTCATAGGGGAAGCCTGTGCCCCAAAAGTGGGGACAACAATAAGCAAGTGTAAAAGATACATGCACTCTACCGCCATAACATTCGTCTCCAACACCCTTACTGGTTAACTGGTACATAATGCCTTTGGCATTAACTCCGCCGTTTCTTTAAATTTAGTAATAATAATAAAATATAATAACACTTGAATACAACGATTGTTACAGTCGAAAGATAAACTATGTAGTTGCGAAAAAATCACGTTCACTTATAAGGAATTACAACATAATAGAAGTCAAGTAATGAGGTTCTCTTTTCATCCTTTGGTTACTACCACCAAGTTACGCTAGCACTAACAAGGCTATTCGTGTTTGCTATTTGTCTGTTTGACAGCAGGTTGTTCTTGTCATACTCTATAGGGAACGAATGGTAGGATATTGGATGGGTGACCAATAACTTAATACATATCTCTCACTTCTCCGTGCTTCAGAAGGCACGTTAAGCCGTTTGTCCCGGCTGCATCTGCAGTCGTTAGCGCTCACTTAGTCGTACTGGGCCCACGTGGTGGGTCACGGCCCAATCTGCCTATCCCATCCATAGGGAATGCCCAACCCCAGCAGTGGGGACATAAATAGGCTTTGACAGTGTTTAATCCAATACTCACATTCCTCATTCCTATACTGCTTGACATTTCTATCGGTAATTCGAAGTTCGGCATGGACCTCAGATGCGATGGTGATTCACACCATTCCGCGACCTGGTAAAATATTAAAAGATATAACACGCGAAGATTAGGGGGCATTACCAGACCGCCATGGCCAGAAGCGGCAGACTGTGAGGGGCGGCTGCAAGAGCTGAGGGGCATCACATCTTGATTTGATTTTCTAATTCTAGGGGGTAGTGCAAATCGTGAATGGTCTGGGGAGCCAGATTTTAAAATACGCCTGTAGTCGGGCTGCGGCCGGCAGGCCAATCTATCACGTCAGGGTCACCAGTGTAGAAAATCCAGAGGGGAAGATCTTCCTCCGAGTTGAGTGATGGTAGCTCGGGAGCCGCGACCCGACTGATGTTGGTCGGGCATTGCATATATGGAGTGTTAGCCTCTGAATTTCACTTGCGCGATGTATGCTTCCATACATTGAGAACGCAGCGCCGGTAGCGCTATCTCTTGAGGACGCGAGTGACTATTTCCTTAATGTTGATTATATGTGGGGCATGTAGATGTCGACGCCACACGCCCATGGCGAAGACAGTGAAAAGAATCTGAAATGATGTCGCAAAACATTCTCACAAGCTTTTGTGTGTTATCCTACAGTTAAGAATCGGGCTAGAGGTGAACCACAGACATAGATTGAAATAGGTACCGCAAGTGTATGTATGTTACGTCGAACGAAACGTCTTCCTTTTCTGCTATTTTATTTTGAAGTGACAACTTCTTATGGGCGAGCAAACCGCTTCGTTACGTAACGCGTTACGGCGCCAGTCTGTTTGGCTTCCCTTCCTATCACGTATACGGGCAGCGCGAGGCAGGCTCGTCCTCTCTCACTCTAACCCGCGAAGCCGCTTAAGTAAGTTTAACGCCTGGTCTGTGTAGTCCTCAACATTATTTTTCACGGCCTGAAAAAAAACCGGCCGGTATTCCTTTTATTATTCGAAATCTACTGTTCACTAAGGCTTCATTTATGTCTTAAATCAATCCTGAAAAGTTTCTCTACAAACATATCTATATTTGAGATGTGTTAATTGAAAACTATTACTATATACGATAAAACGCAAAATTTGAAAAATTAAAATAATTTTCTCAACTTGTGGCAGAAATCATCCACTTACACAGACGAGGGGTTAAAGTGCGTATTCCACCTGACTAAATTCAGACGTCCTAAATCATTCAGCAACTAAAAGTGAAATAGCATTTAGGAAGTTAAGATCCTAATTAGCATCCTAAATCGGAAGAAGTGTGGCTTCTGACTGACTAAATCAATTAGTATCCTAATTAGAAAGCGATTTAGGAACGTGTGATAGGGTTTAGATGCTTCAGTCGCACCGCAGGCGTCACTGCGTGAGGACGTTTTTTTGTCTACGATTACTAATTACGCAAGTGCGCGATGTCGGCCGTAAAAGAAAAAGAAGTCATGAGTAACATAATGAATTTGTATAAACATATGCCATATCTTTGGAAAAAAACGATAAAAATAACATTAATAATATTAATATTCTTTCACCAACAATTTTCTTTTTTTACTACTTTTTTTTTTATTGAGCCAACGGCCAGGCCTACGAAAAGACCGAATTTTTGTTGCTTCGACAGGACTGGAGCCATTACGAAAAAGTCCGACTGAATTCGACGCGCGCTTGTAACTGACTGAATCAGTGACTAAATTAGTCAAGTGTGATCAGAAGCTTCTAATTAGCTTGCTTTTTTTAGGACCCTAACTGAATTTAGTCAGGTGGAATACGCGCTTAAGTTATCATTTCTGTCATGCGTCCCGAGACGTATACGTTATTTTTCTTTATCACTGTTCTCCATACGGATGGTCAATCGCAACTTTTTTAACTGTCCAATTGTGCCATAATAAGCTGTAAAAACGATAAGACTTGAAAAGGGTTTCCGGTGCTCATGATTTTCCAAAACTTAATAGCCGCCCAAAATATGTCACGCTTAGTTTTCATACAATTTAACGCACATGCACCGTCTACTTAAATCTAAGTCTGTGGGGTAAACAATATGTCAGTGATACTCCTAATGTTGAGGAGCTCGATGGCGCAAGCGGTTAGCGCGTTCGGCTGCGGTCGTTGAAGTTAAGCAACTTTCGCAGTGGTCGGTCATTGGATGGGTGACCAAATTTTTACTATCTCGAGCTCCTCCGTGCATCGGTAGGCACGTTAAGCCGTTGGTCCCGCATCTGCAGTCGTTAGCACCCACCAATCCGCACTGGGCCCGCGTGGTGGGTCATGGCCCAATCTCCCTATCCCATCCATAGGGAAGGCCTGTGCCCCAGCAGTGGAGACATTAATAGGCTGATGATGATGATGACTCCTGATCAATAAACTAAGTGAGGTCTTCACTTGCAAAAACACACTTACCCCGCTATGAAACTCGTCGGGCTCAGGAATGTCGACATTACAGCTAGACTTTGGTGTAGATTGACCAGTAAGCTTATTCCTCTCGATAAACTCTCGGATGGCGCTATCTTCTTTCGCATTATCAGCACGACTCAACCTTAAAGGTGTCGCCTTCTCGATCTTCAAGTCGTTAATACGAGACACGATTCTCCGGCGCTCAGATTTCTCTGATAATCTGCTGTACGACTGCGAATCCAATTTAGATTCACTCAAGATCTGACTATCAGCAGTCACAAAGTTCTCCGTGAAGTAAAGGTTGTTCTTTGAGGTGTTCCGTTGGGGACTGTAGAATCCGTTAGTATCGCTGTGTCGTTCGTCTTCAATGCTGGATAGGCTCAGATCTTTTTCGTCCTCAATTTTGTGCACTTTCTTAGGTATTAAATCTGGGTAGTTCTCCTCGGGACTGCCTAGACCCATCAATGGATGATTTGTTGTTAAAGTGAGCGTGGAACTGAGTCTAGGGGGACTGATGCCAAGATTCTTCGGCCTGTTTTCTACAGAGTTGAGATTCAAATTGGACATTTTCAGAACGAAGCTGTCGTTCAATTCCTGCTTAAGTTTGGTCACAGCACCCTTCTGATTGTGGTTGGTCTCCGACTCTGTTAACTTGTGGACGTCGTTTTCGGGGTTCTGGAGACGCAGGACGTTCTGTTCGGGGTTGTCGTCGAAGTCTGACGACAGGACGGAGTTGGGTGTGTCCTGGGAGCGAAACGACTCGGAGCCAGTGTCCATCTTCTCGTCTGACGATGGGGACAGTACTTCGTCGTCATTCAGTCTTGGCAACTTGAAACTAGTGAAGGAATTGGCGTTTGTATATCAATATAGTAGCGTAACTCTATGCGTATCTGCAGCATGAGAAAGCATTAAATTTCTGGGAATCTAGCCAAATCCTGATACTTTATTTTGCTGACACATATATCTATATATATAAAATTCAAAGGTGACTGACTGACATAGTGATCTATCAACGCACAGCCCAAACCACTGGACGGATCGGGCTGAAATTTGGCATGCAGGTAGATGTTATGACGTAGGCATCCGCTAAGAAAGGATTTTGATCAATTCTACCCCCAAGGGGATAAAAAAGGGAATGAAAGTTTGTATGAAACTTCGTAAATTTTAAACCGATCGGGCTAAGACTTTGCATGCAGGTATAAGAAGAATCATAGATGAATGTCATTGTGTTTAATACAAGCCTGAGAACAAAAACTGTAGTCTATACTTCAGCTCTACACCGAAGCGAAGCGAGGGCGGGTAGCTAGTATGTATATATGTCAGCAAAATGAAGTCTCGACTATCAATCTATCGTTTAAACAAAAGCATGTATCAAGATAAGAGGTTGAATAGTTTTGAATCTACAACACAGAGGAAGCCCGTTCAATTTTGATGATGATATTAATAAAATATTCATCTACAGTTAAATTAGACTTTAGAAAATTTCACGTCATATACAAATAGTAAATGTGTCAAAGATTTTTTTTTCTAGTAAAAAATCCTTAAATGTTTTATTCTGTAGTTTTTTTAAATATAGTCAAATTTAACTTAAATAAAAATAAGCATGGTCGTTTCATACTAAAGTTTAATTCTAGATGATTATTATTGTACATAAGGAAGGAATTTTCGTATTAAACAGCTTTATTTACACTTCGTTATGAGTTTCTTCCAAAATATTGATAGAAATATTCCTGGCTATTTTAAATTGATAATACAATTTTATTTAGCTTCTGAGTAGTAAAGACAAATGTATGTAATAATTTAAAGGACTCTAACCTTCTTTTTGAAATGGTCATGTATTAAATAAAACTAGTTTTAACGGGTTAATGCAAGAAACTTTATTTATTTATTGACGTTTCGCAGCCTTTTCAGGTCTGCATCGTCAGAACACTGATTTTTTATTTAATTTTGTCGAGCTACCTTCGAAAGACTTATTGAGCGTTCGGTTATTTCATTGGAAGATTTTTAAAATTTTATTGTCTAAATAAAACTAGTTTTTACGGGTTAATGCACGAAACTTTATTTATTTATTGACGTTTCGCAGCCTTTTCCTGCAGACCTGAAAAGGCTGCGAAACGTCAATAAATAAATAAAGTTTCGTGCATTAACCCGTAAAAACTAGTTTTATTTAATGAGTGATGTGCGTGAAAACCTAAGAAACAAATATTTTATTGTCTATGTATAAATTTATTAATTAATTTAGTTAAAAAAGTACTTTATTTAAAATTCTTTTTTGTAATTTTGAGTTTATTTATTTGACCCTAACTACCGTAAACTACCACCGGTTTCAAAATTGGGAGACTTTTCTGAGAAGAACTGGCGAAACAAACTCAGAGAGGCTTTCTCGTCAGTAAATAAATTAAGGTTCGTGCATTAACCCGTTAAAACTAGTTTTATTTGATGAGTGATGTGCGTGAAAACCTAAGAAACAAATATGGTCATGTATTGATTAGTTACTGAAATCTGTCTCGTCTTATATTACAAATCCGAAAGTTTCTTATGCAACTGCTTCACAGATTCGGATAAAATTTGCCCTACATAGGTAGTTTATTACTTGGATTGACACATATGATATTTTTCATCTCGGAATACATTCGGTTCGGTCTGAAGTCTGAATAAAATAAACGACTTTTTTGATAGACTAATTTAATAGAATTTTATATATCACTACATAGTATAAAGCAAAGTCGCTTCCCGCTGTCTGTCTGTCCCTATGTATGCTTAGATCTTTAAAACTACGCAACGGATTTAGATGCGTTTTTAAAAGATAGAATAATTCAAGGGGAAGGTTTATATGTATAATAAATATAATCTAATATATCAAATTCTCGTGTCGCGGTGTTTGTGGTTAAACTCCTCAGAAATGGCTTTCCCGATTCTCATGAAATTTTGTGTGCATATTGGGTAGGTCTGAGAATCGGACAACATCTATTTTTCATCCCCCTAAATGTTAAGGGTAATCCACCCCTAAATTTTTTTTTTTCAAATTTAGATAATTTTTTTTTAAGTTTTTTTATGATACATCATACAATAATACATACACCCCTAAATTAACAACTTTCTAACACTAACCCCTATTTTATAAATAAACACATTTTTTTGCGCTTACATTGCAAACGCGCTGACTGAACCCTACGAGATGTACCAAAATAATGTTCTACAGTATTGTACACCTTGAAAAGGTCTGCAAAAAAGTCCGCGATGGTATATGTCTATCTCTTAAGGATAACCCACAATAACCATTTATTATTCTATACTTTTTACGAGAAATAATAGCTTATTTACGAAACGATTTTCAGCAATATAACATTCATCCTTATCCAATTAAGTACCTTAAATACATTGTGCATTTAATATAGATCAACTTGGCGGCCCTTTAAAGCATGTAATTTAAATGAAATATTTTCAAAGATATTACAGATTTAAAATGCAGGGACATAGCGGTTCCGACGCTACCGGGCGGGGGGCCTGGCGGCCCGTGCCTATTGTAATTAGGTATTATACCCGCCATACACACTACGAGAAATCGTTACGATCAGACTGTACAGTTCGAACGGTACAGTTTAAACGATTTCGTTTAGTATAGGAAACTGTGCAGTTTTATAACATACACGCTACGATTTATCGGTACCGTTCGGACTGTACAGTCTAATCGTAACGATTTATCGTAGTGTGTATGGCGGCTATTAGAAGAATGTCATTATGTATTATATGTATAATACAAGCCTGAGAACAAAAACTATAGTCTACACTACAGCTCTACACCGAAACGAAGCGAGGGTGGACCACATATAGATATATATATATACTAGCGGACCCGACAGACGTTGTCCTGTCTACACGTCTTTAATTTGAAAATTTTTTAATAAGCTAAAACATTCTGGATCATTTTGATGAAAATTATTATTCAAATGTTATGACAATATCTAACGTCATTACATGTAAATTTATTACAATTAGACTAATCGATAGCGTGTGAGTATGTGTAATAAAATCTTCAACTTGTTTTAATTAAAGGTAAAAAAGCTTACACTCAAACTATTTTATTTAAAAAATATATTTTTTTATTTACAAAATCTTAATTTATCGTAATGCCATTGGATGTACAATATTTTTGGTTAAACCCTGAGGTGTATAAATAAATAAATTCGATGGTTTTCCAACTCTGGAACACGCAACATAACGGTGCGCGTTCCCCATAGCACTTTGCCGCTAGATGGAGCTAGGGGCGTAAAATCGGTTTTTTATTTTTTAAAACCTTTTAAAATTGAATATTATTTAATATTTGACTCTGCGATGGTAGCGCCGTCTGTCGGATCCAATGTAAAACATTCCAAAATCAACAACTACTAATAAATTAAAAATTAATTAAAAAACATTGTCCAGCGGACAAAATTGTGAATCTAAACCATTCTCAGATCCCCTTGAACACACACAAAAAATTTCATCAAAATCGGTCCAGTCGTTTAAGAGAAGTTCAGTGACATACACACTCACAGAAGAATTATATATATAAAGATATATATATATATACAGGGCGTCCCACGGCTACCTCACACGAAGGGAAAGTATATTAAATATTGAAGTTATGATATTTTACTGAAAGAAGACATCATTTTATTTTTAATAATAACTAGAACCGCATTCACAGATTTTAAAAAAATGCCTGCTACAAATGGGAATCAAACTCGTGAAATTTAAAAAAAAATACAACATAATTTTATGATAACCATCGCAAGGGTTAATCATAAAGATTAATTTTTGCTTAATAACATATCATTTTAAACGAAAGAAAAGTAATTTAATTTAACATTTTATTTAAAATTATTGAACACAAACTAATATGAAATCGGAAACCTTAAAGTATCGTATCATTTGCGGTACCACCGCAAAGCTAATATGTCATTGTGGTACATTAAGTTTCTTTTAAATCCATTTATTAAAATAACAAAAAATTGGAAAAAAACGAAAATGAAACTTACAAAATACAAAAGAACAGACGCTTGAAAATTTATGTGTTCCATTTTTAAATTTCAGCCAATCGCATTGTAACTGTGAAAGAAAAGCATACGTACTACAGTTTGTGTATCACTTTATTATTTTTATCACGTAATAAGACATTCCTTTCATTTAAAATGCTATGTTATTTAGCAAAAAATAATCCTTATGATTAACCCTTTCGATGGTCATCATAAAATATGTAGTGTTTACTTTTTCGAAATTTCACGAGTTTGATTCCCAGTTGTAGCAGGCGATTTTTAAAAAATCTGTGAATGCAGTTATAGTTACTATTAAAAATAAAATGATGTCTCCTTTCAGTAAAATATCCTATCTTCAATATTTAATATACTTTCCCTCCGTGTGAGGTAGCCGTGGGACGCCCTGTATATATATATAATTAAGAAACTCCTTCTTTTTAAGTCGGTTAATAATAAAGTATCAGGGAAAGTTTTTTACCATAATTAAACACCGCAGGCAAAGTGTCGTTGGCAACAACTAGTATTATTTAAATCTAAAGAAAATTTTACTAGAAACAGTTCCACGCGGACCAGGCAGCAGACAGGACTCGCACCCTTCGCTACTGGGCGAATGCACTGACTATTATGCTACCGCGGCCCTGATGGCCGTGTCGAATTTTCTCTTGCATTTCTTTGACTGCAAGGCAACGCCATCGCTTCATCCTGGTCCGCGTGGATTATTTCTAGTAAAATTTTCTTTATATGTAAATAATCTAGCAGTGAATGCTTAAAAAATGTTTAAGAAGTTTATTAACGTCAACACTGAACAAAAAATTCT